GTAGCTGGGACCACAGGTGCCCGCCACAACGCCTGGCTATTTTTTGGTTGCAGCCATCATTGTTGTTTGGTGGGCCTCGGCTGGATTTGAACCCACCAGTTCAGGTGTATGATTTAGGGGAATTTTTATGGGGCCTATAATCCTAGCATTCTGGAAGGCCAAGGTGGGTGGATTGCTTGAGTTCAGGAGTTCAAGACCAGCCTGAGCAAAATTGAGACCCTCGTCTCTAGTAAAAATAGAAACACTGACAAAAGAGGATCGCTTGAACCCAAGAGTTTGAGGTTACTGGGAGCTATGACACCATGGCACTCTACCCAGGGCTACAGCTTGAGACTCTGTCTCAGAAAATAAATAAATAAATAAAAATAAAATATATTGATTCGTCATGGCATATATTTTGGAAGAACAGTTAACAAGGCTGGGTTTGAACCTGGCCAGGGGCAGCTAAACAACAATGACAATGGCAGCAACAAAACTAGCTGGGCATTGTGGTTGGCGCCTGTAGTCCCAGCTACTTGGGAGGCTGAGGCAAAAGAATCGCTTAAGCCCAAAAGTTTGAGGTTGCTGTGAGCTATGACACTAGGGCACTCTACCAAGGGTGCAAAGTGAGACTCTGTCTCCAAAAATATAAACAGTAAACAGTTGCTCGGATTACCCAGAGTACTTTGCCACAAGGCAAGGTGTTATTAGCCAAAATAGGAAATATTCACTAGTGTGGTCAGTTCTATGAAGCAAAAGGAGTCCAAAACTATGGGGCAACTCCAGAACATGTTTGGTTTCTAGGTGTTAGTGAGGCATTGACATCTCTTAGATGTGGCTATATCATCCCACTAACCTAAGGAAATCTCAAGGCTATGATTCTCACATTTTAATATGCCTAATAAGTATCCTATATACAACCCCCAGAGATTCTGACTTGGAAATTCCTACAAAACAACCCCCAGAGATTCTGACTGAGGAACTTTACGGTAAGGTCTAGGAATCAGAGTATTTAGACTTTTTTTTTTTTTTTTTTTGGCTGGGGCTGGGGTTGAACCCACCACCTCTGGTATATGGGGTCAGCACCCTACTACTTTGAGCTGAGTATTTAGATTTTTATGGTGCTAAAGGAGTAGGGTGCCAGCCTATGCCAGAGGTGGTGGGTTCAAACCCAGCCCTAGCCAAAAACTGCAAAAAAACCCCAAAACTCTTTGCTTTTTGTTAATTTCATGAGCAGTATTAAATATTAATGTTCATTGAGAGTCCTGAAATCTCTGGTATTTAGTAAGAGGTCAGTAACAGGCCAGGCAAGGTTGCTTATGTCTATAATCCTAGCACTCTGGGAGGCTAAGGTGGGTGGATCCATTGAACTCAAGGGTTTAAGACCAGACTGAGGGCTCGGTGCCTGTGGCTCAAGTGGCTAAGGTGCCAGCCACCACATACACCTAAGGTGGTGGGTTTGAATCCAGCCTGGGCCCGCCAAACAACAATGATGGCTGCAACCAAAAAAACTAGCCAGGCGTTGTGGCAGGTGCCTGTGGTCCCAGCT